AAGGGGGTCCTACAAAGTATTGACTCAGGGGGGCTGAATACAATTGCGCTCTACATTTTTCAGATAATTATTTGGAAAAAAGTTTGGAATCCATTTCCTTCCACTTCAAATTATGTGCCATTTTGTGTTGGTCTATCACATAAAATCCCAATAAATTACATTTATGTTTTTGGTTATAGCATGACAAAATGTGCAAAATTTCAAGAGGTTTGAATACTTTTTCAAGGTACTGTAAATTTGATCAGTCAGATTGGGATATTGCTGGTAACATGCTTACAGGTTGTTGTCTTTTTCTGAAGCAGATTTAAATGTATCCTGTTTACATACAAACACATGTTGATTATCTCCAGAACAGGAATAACTGGCCAAGTCAACAACATGCAGTTGCTGATAAGTACCTGTTAGTATGAACTGTTTCTTACAGGTGGAAAACCATTTTGATAATTATGTGCCCACAAGACTGTTGATAGAACCTATTAAAGTGAAAATTTCCATTACTCAAGAATGTAAGCATAGTGATCCCATCATGACTCAATCTTTCTGCAGTTACAAATGTACTTCTTCTTTCCCCAAAATATACAGCCTATGTAGACTAAAGAATGCTGTTACTGCTATACACATTTTTTTACTTTTTGTAAAAGTGAGCAGGCAAGCCCTCACCTCCATCTCTAACCCTTTCCCCTGGCAACCTGAAAAGAGCAGTGGCAGTATAACTATTATCGGAAGGGCAGAGTTTTTTGACAAAGCCTAGTTTTATCTTTTCTTTGCAGGTTAAGAGGCAATACCTAAAGCAACGGTCGCTAAATGGCCAATAACAGCCCGAGCAGTGCTCCCGCCCGGACCGTCAGCCCACCAGACTAGAATGACAGACCCGCTGTTCAGCATGGCGGTTGTCTGGACAATCAATGATATCATGCAAGTGCCCTGCCCCACCCCTTGAAGCTCACTGTCTCTCCCGACTCATGCTCCCTGCCTGTCCACGAGCATGCTCCCCGCCCCCTTCAGCAAGGATCTCAGCAACCTCCTGCCTCCCTCTCTTGTCTGCCCTCAAGGTAAGGTGTGTTCTTTCTGGGAAACTCATACAAATGAGTGCAGAGAGGCAAGTTCAGGTGGAAGCATGTGAACAGTTAATCATGAGCTCGCCACTGCTGCATTGTTAATCATTTGCGTGATGAAGAAACCTGAAAAGAATAGGCGTTGTGGAAAATGCTCTCAGTCAAGCACCTTAATGAAGGTGCATCTTTATTAAGTGAGACAAAGTAGCAAATATAATAAAATTTGACCAGCCTGAAGTGAACAGTGTGACTCCAACGGACAGCCCGTCCGCTCTGAAGGGAGCTAAGATCGGAGAAACCCTCCTGTCGGCTTCAAATCATGTGGTGCCAGCGTATCGGCGTCCCGGGTGGCGTCATCGCGGCAAGCGAAGGGAGGAAGACAGTGTCTGGCATCGGCTTCAGCTGGGAGCGTATGCAGGGTTACCAAGATGACATGTTTCACGCAATTACACTTTGTCAAGTCTCTGGTAACCCTGGCTGGCGGCCATTATATAGAAGACCATTAGAGGGAAGGCTGGCTGAGTGTAATTAGAAGGGGATGGGGTGTCAATCAAAGCGGACGGTTCATCCTGAAGCAGTGCTAAATACAAATTTAAAAGTTCAAATTGCAAGTTATAGGAAGTGGTGCCAATTAATGGAGTGATATGTAAAAGAACACAATTGGAAAACATGATATACTTTTATCTTTAGCCAAATTAATGTAATAATAAAATATTAAAAGGAAAACTTTCTTGTGGGAGAACTCAAAGTTAAAAACTACATCGCTGGTACATGGAAGCTATATCTATGTAAAAAAATGTGTTTATAGTGAGGTAATTTTGGGTATATGGATGAAGAAGGGAGGAGGGGGGGGGTTGGCATATGAAGGTAATAGTGACTGCATAAACGGTACTGCTAAAAGAAATATAGTAAAATCAATATGGGTATCAAATTAGGTAGCTCATATATTCATAATCAAGTGAACGCAATAGATGCGTAGTAACATATATTCATAATTAAGTGAACGCAATATATACGTTGTAACAGTAAAAGTTAAAAGACAAGTGTTAAAAGAAAACAATAATGTATATAAAAGAAATATCAGTAAATAGTGGTTGAGCGAAAAAAAACACAGGAGGATCCTAGCTCCAGGGACTATTGGTCATACGTGTTAGATAATGCTATGGGTTTCAACATCCTCATTGAGACCATTGGGGGCCATAGAACCTAACTTGTAGATCCAGAACGTCTCTCTCTTACATAAATGGGCTAGTCTTTCATTGTCAGTAAATGTACCCTTTGGAATATGTTCGATTGCTAGGACCTCAAGAAGACTGAAGTTCTTTTGATAAGAGTGCAAAAAGTGCCTGGGGACACTATGCTTATCGCAACTGTCTCTTATAAGTCTTCTATGCTCCCTATGCATTTGCATAGAGGGCATGTGGTTCGGCCTACATATAGGAGCTTACACGGGCATGTGAGGACATATATGATGTGGTCAGTTGCACACGTGATAAACTGACAAATGTTATAGCTGTTGCCCTGGGAATCCAACACCTGTGATCGGCCATGGGTGATGGACTGACAGGTGAGACAACCTCTTTTGTTGCATCTATAGATACCTGTTCTGTTGTCAAATGTAGGAAGGGGGCCATTATCTTTGTAGGTGGATGGTGACATTTTGCTTGGGACTAGAATATTGTTCAAAGTATGGGCTCTCTTGAAAGTCACTTATGGGGCTCATGGGAGAATACTTGCTAGTCTAGGATCTAATTGTAAAATGTGCCAGTGTTTGCGAATGATGTTTGCAATGTCACGATGTGATGTGTTGAAACCAGTGATAAACCTCACCGAGTTGCACTGGTCATGGGCCTGGGTATGTATTTGGTCTTTTAATTCGCTGTGTTTGGCATATGCGTTTTTAATAAGGGAAGGGGGATAGCCTTTCTCAGAAACTTTTTTGAAAGGAGAGAACCTTGTTTTTGGTAGTCACATAATTTTTAACAGTTCTTCCTTAGTCTTTGGAATTGGCCACTGGGGATATTATTTTTCCAGGCTGGATGTGACAACTGGAATAGTGTAGATATGGGTTCTCTCCTCTCCCACCATGGCCAACCCGAAATACACCAGATTACAGTCTATATTTAGTCATTTGAATTCCCACCAAACAAACACCCAATTACATGCTAATTCATCTCCCAAAGAAATAACCCCCTCATACAAAAGACTATGAAAATAGAATGAGACAAGCTTTTTTTCAGTTACAATATGCAAAACAGTTTGAAAATGCACAATGGTGGGACTTCTATTTCCTTAAAAAATATTTAGAACTTGGGATAACACCAAGAGGTCTACGTATTAAAAAACACTGTGATTTTCTTGATGTCGACCTCAAAAAAGACTGGGAACTGATCTCTGAGTTCTGCACTACCGAATGGATTAAATTAATCACGTGACCAGTGCAACTCGGTGAGGTTTATCACTGGTTTCAACACATCACATCGTGACATTACCTACATCATTCGCAAACACTGGCACATTTCTAATTAGATTCTAGACTAGCACCTATTCTACCACACGCCCCACAAGTGACTTTCAAGGGAGTCCGTACTTTGAAAAATATTCTAGCTCTAAGCAAAATGTCACCATCCACCTACAAAGATAACAGCCCCCTTCCTACATTTGACGACAGAACAGGTATCTATAGGTGCAAAAAAAGAGGTTGTCTCACCTGTCAGTCCATCACCCATGGCAGATCACAGGTGTTGGACTCCCAGGGCAACAGCTATAACATTCATCAGTTTATCACGTGTGCAACTGACCACGTCATATACATCCTCACATGCCTGTGTAAGCTCTATACATAGGCCAAACCACACACCCTCTATGCAAATGCATAGGGGAGCATAGAAGACTTATAAGAGATAGTTGCGATAAGCATAGTGTCTCCAGGCACTTTTTGCACTTTCATCAAAAGAATTTCAGTGTTTTTGAGGTCCACTTAGTTCACTTAATTATGAATATATTTTACTAAGCATCTATTGCGTTCACTTAATTATGAATATATGAGCTACCTAATTTGATACCCATATTGATTTTGCTATATTTCTTTTAGCAGTACCTTTAATGCAGTCACTTCATATGCCAACACCCTCCCCCCTCCCTTCTTCATCCATATACCCAAAATTACCTCACTATAAACGCATTTTTTGACATAGATATAGCTTCCATGTACCAGCGATGTAGTTATTAACTTTGAGTTCTCCCACAAGAACGTTTTCCTTTTATTATTTTATTATTACATTACTTTGGCTAAAGATAAAAGTATATCATGTTTTCCAATTGTGTTCTTATACATATCACTCCATTAATTGGTACCACTTCCTATAACTTGCAATTTGTACTTTTAAATTTGTATTTAGCATTGCTTTAGAATGAGCCGTCCACTCTGATTGACACCCCATCCCCTTCTAATCACACTCAGCCAGCCTTCCCTCTAATGGTCTTCTATATAATGGCCGCTGGCCAGGGTTACCAGAGACTTGACAAAGCACAACTGCGTGAAACATGTCGTCTTGGTAACCTTGCATACGCTCCCAGCCTAAGCTGACGCCGGACACTGCCTCCCGCCCTTCGCTTGCCGTGATGATGCCACCCAGGACGCCGGTAAACTGACACCATGCGATTTGAAGCCGACAGGAGCATTCTCCGATCTTAGCTCCTTTCAGAGCGGACAGGCCGTCCTTTGGAGGCATACTGTTCACTTCAGGCTGCTCAAATTTTATTATATTTGCTACTTTGTCTCAATAAAGATGCACCTTCATTAAGGTGTTTACCTGAGAGCATTTTCCACAGCACCTATTCTTTTCAGTTGTGTGCTTTCTGGGGGACCTTGATGGGCACATTTATATTAAGGGGCACTATGATAGGCACATTTAATGTTAAAGAGTAATGCTGATGGGCACATTTAATGTTAAGGGTCACTCTGACGGGCACAAAATAAAATGTGCCCATCAAAGTGCCCTTAACATAAAATGTGCCCATCAGCATGCCGCTTATTTTATGTTAAAGGGAACTTTGATGGGCACATTTTATGTTAAGGGGAATTCTGATGAGTACATTTTATGTTAAGGTGCACTCTGATGGGCACAATTTATGTTAAGGGAACACATATGGGCACACACTGTGGAAAGGGGCACTCTGATGGTCACATGTGTTGGAAAGGGGCACTCTGATGGGGAAATATGATGGAAAGGGGTACTTTGAGTGTAAGGGGGCACTCTGATGGCAATACCTGATGTAAGGTGGCAATGTGATGGGGATACCTGATGTAAAGGAGCACTCTGATGGGCACCCCTGATGTGATGGGGATACATGATGTAAAGGAGCACTCTGATGGCGACACCTAATGTAAGGGGGCACGGTGATGAGCAGACCCTAAGTAAGGTGTCAGGTGTAAAGATGTAAGGTGTCACCGTGATGGGGGAACCTTATGTAAGGGGGCACTCTAATGGGAACAACTGATATAAGGGGGCACACTGATGGGAGACACCAAAGGTAAGGGGGCCTTCTGATGCAGAAACCTCATGTAAGGGGGCACTCTGATTGGAATGCCTGATATAAGGGGGCACTCTGATTGGAATGCCTGATATAAGGGGGCACTCTGATTGGAATGCCTGATATAAGGGGGCACTCTGATTGGAATAGCTAATGTATGAGGGCACTCTGATGGAAATGCCTGATGTATGGGGGAACTCTGATGGAAATGCCTGATGTATAGAGGCACTCTGATGGGAACACATTACTTAAGGGGCATGCCTGATATAGGGTGTACTCTGACTGGGGCAATTGATTTATGGGGAAGTCTGATTGTGGCACCCAATGTAATAAATTATTCTGGAGGGAGAACCTGATGTAAGGGGGAACACTAATGGGGACATTTATTTTTGAACCTTGGCCATAAGAAGATTTTAGTGACCAGGCCAGCTTGAATTTTAATTCAATACCCCTGACTTAAAGGATTACTTAGGGCTAGAAGGACAGATCAGAACAAGGTTTTTGTGTTTTTGGATTTGCAATGAAGTGATAAAGAGGTGTACGTCTGATAACCACATTCATAATCTATGAGAGGTCTATCTATGGCAATAACCAATAAATTCCAATAAACATTAAGTGCACTCAAACCTACAAAAAATATATTGCAGTTTACCAGTCCTTAGGTGTAGTTGACATTGTTAGTTTTATTTTTTTTATTTAACAACATTTTTAGCAAGTGCAGAAAATTCATATTGCTCTTGCCTAAAAAAATGTAGTGTCCTGGTCACTTTCTGTAAGCTGTAAAGATAACCAAAACAATATATTATCTTACTGAACTACTAATCACATTAATCCATCATGTAGGGAGAGAAAGAAAAGCAGATATGTTTGACATCCAGCCTGTGTGGTAACAATAGGTACACTGGAGAAGTAAGTGTAGCTACAATGGGACAGGGAGTGTGTTATTCGAATGATTACCAGGTCAAAAAAGTCCAATGTAGTCACCACATCTAAGAGCTGTTAAGCTGCTGTAGGGATCTGCTGCCCCCTACTTTCTGTAAATTGCTCTGCTGTCTAAGGTTCACTGAGATTATTTATGTACATATCTTTCTGTCTCTGTGTGTCTGGGTCAGAAACCCCTGAATGTGGAAGTGGAGAGAGAGACAGTGACCTGACCACATGACATAATACACACAGGGGCTGCTACTGCTGCTGTATTTTCACCCAGACCAGAAGTAGAGACTATTATGAAAGTATTCCTATATACTAATAGTTTAACTACAGCTGCCCATACCTTTTTGAATGTGTATCTAAATCCTTGTGACAGGCTTATCTCTGTCCTATTGTTATAATCTCTCGTGCACAGTGCCAGATAGTTAGGTCTGTGCTACTGTATGCGCATATTGGTCACCTTTCAGTATATTAGTAGATGAACCTATTCACTGCAATAGAGAATATATGCAGCTTACTATTATTTTACTTAACTCTGTCCCTTCTTGTCTGGGATTCTATAACTAGTTTTACCTCAGGGCTTAATAACCAGAATAGGCTAGAGGTAGGTTAGGCATCCAACAGCCACTTCTGGTAGTTACAAGTTCCGGTTGCATGTCAGAGTAGAAAGTACTAGTGACTAAAGCACAGGCTGACTCTGAGTTCTAGTGTCACACCACAGTTTGTGCATTTGAGAAGCTGTGTTCAGGCTGGTTGGACAACTGCTGATATCACTGCAGATCTTGTCTTTAGGTCTTTGACAACAAAATGAATGCCACAGCACAATCATTCTCAGGGCCCCTGCAACTGGACTTTGCTGCAATATTCACCTGGAGGTATCAGTATTAATAATTATTTATACCACTAAGGCTCCTAATGCACCACACTAAACTGCATGGTGCTGCGGTACCAAGTGGCTTGGCACACACAAAAAAGGCTCACGGTGGCCGATGTGTGGGGTGCCATTAAGATTTACTGCCTGTGTGCCTGCTAAAGAGCAGCGTGTTTCTGTCTGTGCATGCATGTAAAGTGCACAATTTTGCATGTGTTCCCGTCAGATATAGATCTGAACCAAGCCTAAGAGAAAATTATTTATTTATATTTGAAGTAGAATTTTAGGGAATGTGTTTATTACATTTGAATAGATTATAGAAGATTTAAATATGCTATCAGGTTTTCATTGCTGTCTGTATCCCCGTTGCGAAGATTTACCCTCACTACCAGCAAAAAAAAAAGGAATTATATAAGTATTCTCTGTAATTTTCCTGATGCCTAAACCACCTGCAGGACTAGGGGGATCAGTAAATGTTACCCTCAGACAGAGTACCCTAATTCTTGTAAACTGAATTAACATTACAGTCTGGGACAAAGTATGCTGCCATGTTCAGGCACCAGGAAAAGAAAATTATGAAAATTACAATAAGTATTGGTACAATTTTCTATTTTCCTGTGTACAACATGGCAGCATACATATGGTAAATACTAAGCCACACAAGAGGGCTTCATGAAGAAACTAATTTTAACGAGAAACAGAAGGAAAAGAAGCAGTCACAACTCAGTTGCCAAAGTCTGCAGGTACCTAGGAGTCATTTTCTCCTACAGTAGGTGAGAAAAAAGAAAGCAAAGAAACACTAATAAGTTAAGACATTTTTAGGGTGAAGGTCTGCTTTAAGGAGAATCTCTCCCATTAGCACTATATGCTCTGTGGATCAGCTTGAGTATCCATGATGCCAAGGTTCTTTTAGAGACTTCTTTACTTTTGCTCATTCCTCTGGGGAGTACAAAGAGTTTCTCTGCCGGGCCTGAAAGTATCTGTTATTGGATCCTAATAACCAGGGTTGAACAAGAGCATTTCTCTCAAATGACACCTAACTGACATACCCGGAAAATAAATGAAGTTTGTTGTTGTGAGGCCATCCCTGCTGGTGCTCCTGGCTCCTCCCCCGCTGGCGCTCCTGACTCCCTACTGGCTCCTCCCCCGCTGGCACTCCTCACTCGCTACTGGCTCCTCCCCCACTGGCACTCCTAGCTCCCCTATTCTTGGTGTGTCACCATAGGAAGCAGCTTCCTATTGTAGCACACCTGCAGGCTTGACCCGCCCCCCCCCACCCACAAGTGCCATCTGTGGGCATACTTTGCCCCACCCTAATCTCTAACCATACTGAATGGACTGTATCTGCCTAGTGCCCTGAGATTACATTGGAATTTCACAGGGGAAGCTAATATGTTTAACCCAATTGCTAAAGCTCTTACGATCATTCTCAATATTTTTTTAATTTTCAGCCTTCGTGTAAAGTGTTACTAAACCCAGGACCCTGCATTCACTATATCTAGTCTCCCACAATATCCAAAGAACAAAAGGTATACCGCTCAGACACAAACAAAGCAGATCAATCCACAACAGGTGCAGGCTCTGACTCGCCACCACACACAATCCAATAGGAAGAAGGGTCAGCCGCACACCGGAGGATAGATCAATATAGTGTGTATTTATTGATCCATAGGATAAACAAAAACACCAGGACATGAATACAGGACTTGTTAACGTGTTTAACACAATCTCGTGCTTAACATAAACAATTTATGATTAAGCACGAGATCTTGTGAAACGCGTTAACAAGTCCTGTATTCATGTCCTGGTGTTTTGTGTGTCCTATAGATCAATAAATACACACTATATTCATCTATCCTCTGGTGTGCGGCTGACCCTTCTTCCTATAGTCTCCCACAGTACTCAGAACATGGAAGTGTAAGTATTTTAGTAAATATAAACTGCTAAATACCTTCTCATCAGAAGTTATAGTCTTGTGTCTTCTTTCAGTTTCCAGCAGAGCACATGTTAAAGCTTGTAGGAGGAGTTTTCTTTCTTTTTGCTCCAGGAGGATGCAGAACCCCTGACCTCTGTCTGGACACTGCTGATTGGACCTGTGCTGATCACATGCACTCTCCCAAAAACCCTCTCTAGCAATACACACTAAATGGAGCATGTGCAAAGTGTCTCCACAGGATATGTATTATCAGGAGATAAGAGGGGGACACTGGAAGAAGGGGAGGATCAGAAAAATCAGGATCAAACAGCGTTTTTACACGATGCAGAGGATTAACCCCTTAAAGTGGAGTTCCACTCACACTGTAAAAAAATAAAAGTCAGCAGCTACAAAAATTGTAGTTGCTGACTTTTAAAAAAACAGCCATTTACCTGTCCCATGATCCCGCTGTGTCCTCCAAGCAGCCCGTTTCACCGGCTGTCCTGTGTTCCAGGTGCTGGCATCTTCAGTGTGGGCACTCGGCTGTGACAGCTTGCAGCTTCACAGCCGGGTGCCCACTGCGCATGCGCAAGTAGCGCTGTGCTTCCTGAATGGCCCCGTAGTCTTCTGGGACACGTGACAGGTCCCAAAAGACTACAGGGAGGGAGGGTAGGAGGACAACTTCCGCTTCCTATTGCCTAGGCGATCGCAGCGGAAGTGGGAGTGGGTACCTGTCAATTTTCGGGGTACCCGCTCCCCAAAGGTACCAATCCTTAATGGGGAGCAGGGGACCAATCTTTAAAGCAGAACTTCCCCTTTTGGGTGGAATTCCGCTTTAAGTTTCAGTGAGTATAACAAGCATGCTTTACTGCATATATAGACTGATTTTTTACTGTTGTGGGTTTAGTAACACTTTAAATAACTGGCGGCACTACAATACAATACAGGCTGAAAAATTGTAAACTGTACAGTATTAAAAAATGGAAATGTTTATAAATTACTGTGCTTTAGCACACTAAATGGCAATTAGTTAGGTTTTGATTCTGTATTAAAAGGACATATGTAGTTTTACTAAAAATATATATAAAAAGTTCACTATCCACACCATAAGTCCACACCATAAGTTTAATATTACATAGCTCCCAGCTGTCCTTCTTTTTGAAACAAATCAGTCTTTTCTTAATTGTCTTTTCTTAATCAGTCTGCGAGCCTGGAGCTGGAAAGGAGGAAAACTCTGGACTCACTGGCCCCCTGAGAGATGACCACCTGTATGGCAGGGAAGGAGAGGCCTAGCTGATAGGACTGGTAGCAGCAGCCATCCTGCAAGCGG